AAAGAAAGAAAGAAAATGAAAGAAAGAAAGAAACATGACTGAATTAATGAAAGAAAAGAAAGAAAGAAAGAAAGAAAGAAAAGAAAGAAAAAAGACATGACTGAATTAATGAATAGAAAAGAAAGAAAAGAAAGAAAGAAAGAAAGAAATGACTGAATTAATGAATAGAAAAGAAAGAAAGAAAGAAAGAAAGAAAGAAAGAAAGAAAGAAAAGGAAAAGAAATGACATGAATTAATGAAAGAAAAGAAAGAAAGAAAGAAAAATGAAAATGAAAGAAAAAAAGAAAGAAAGAAAGAAAGAAAGAAAAAAGAAAGAAAAGACATGACTGAATTAATGAAACAAAAAAGAAAGAAAGAAAGAAAGAAAGAAAGAAAGAAAGAAAGAAAGAAAGAAAGAAAAGAAAGAAAAGAATGACTGAATTAATGAATAGAAAAAGAAAGAAAAGAAAGAAAGAAAGAAAGAAAGAAAGAAAGAAAGAAAGAAAGACATGACTGAATTAATGAATAGAAAAGAAAGAAAGAAAGAAAGAAAGAAAGAAAGAAAGAAAGAAAGAAAGAAAAGAATGACTGAATTAATGAATAGAAAGAAAGAAAGAAAGAAAGAAAGAAAGAAAGAAAGAAAAGGAAAACATGACTGGATTAATGAACAGAAAAGAAAGAAAGAAAGAAAGAAAGAAAGAAAGAAAGAAAGAAAGAAAGAAAGAAAGAAAAGAAACAGAAAAGAAAGAAAGAAAGAAAGAAAGAATGAAAAAAGATTGAATAATGAAAAAAAAGAAAGAAAGAAAGAAAGAAAGAAAGAAAGAAAGAAAGAAAGAAAAGAAAAAAGATCATTGACATTGATTAATGAACAGAAAAGAAAAAGAAAAGAAAGAAAGAAAGAAAGAAAGAAAGAAAGAAAGAAAAAGGAAAACATCACTGATTAATTTTGAAAACCATTAATCCAGTGATGCTTAAAAGAAAGAATGAAAGATTAATGAACAGAAAAAGAAAGAAAAAAAGAAAGAAAGAAAGACATGACTGAATTAATGAATAAAGAAAGAAAAGAAAGAAAAGAAAGAAAGAAACAAAGAAACAAACAAACAAAACAAACAAACAAAGAAAACGAAAACAAAAGAAAAAAAGAAAGGGAAAAATGACTGGAAAAAAAAGGAAAAGAAAGACTGATAAAAGAAAGAAAAGAAAGAAAAGAAAGAAAGAAAGAAAGAAAGAAAGAAAGAAAGAAAGAAATACATGGCTGGATTAATGAATAGAAAAAAAAAGAAAGAAAGAAAGAAAAGAAGGTAGGTAGGTTGGTAGGTAGGTAGGTAGGTAGGTAGGTAGGTATAACGTCTCCTGACAATACCTCATAAATAATGAACTATTCCTTTTGCTTGCGTGGTAAAACAGAACACAGTAAAGAAAAAAAGAAGGGAAGAGAGAAGTGTTTAAATTCTGTTAAATGGGGGGAAAAAGTCGTCACTTTCAAATGTTTACATTTGTACACCTTTACTTCTTTCAATAATTTATTAAATTTAGGCTCAAATATTTTAACGACGCGATAGGAGAGAATTTCTACGTATATTTTGTTGTAGAACTCGCCATGAACGCATTCAGTCATTAACTGAAGAATTAAAATTCACCAGAAAATTAAAATATGTAAACTGTTTAATTTTCACAGGTCTTTCTAGTTAATCAATAATTTTTCTTACGTTTTATTAAATTTGGCCTTCCAGTTCATGGGAATTCCGTTTTATAGATTTATTTTGATTTCAATTCCAAATGGCAAATAGATGGCCTTTCCAGTCATACTATTAAAAAACAGCGTTTACTGCTGCAGAATGGTATTTGAAAGATAATAGTTGTAGAACTCGCTAAAGATGTTGAAAAAATAGTCTGTTCCTCGTACCCCTCCAGAAAGTATCTGATTCTTCCTGAAATGCTCTATCAAGAATCAGATCAGACGTAAAATTAAGTATTAATGCAATTTGCTCTTTGAGAAATTCAGAAACGTTATGCCGTACTGCTTGGCCTTCGCGCCTTTAAGCTCCAATAAGAATATTTCCTCGTGTTTGGGTATCAATCTGAAAACAGTACAGAGGAATCGGGAAAAGACTGGCAAGGTCTAATGGTGATTACGAAGGTGTCTGAGGTGGTATTTAGTGATGGCGATGTTACACCTTCATTCATCTTGCCACAGAACCTCAGACTCAACACAGATGCCTACATCAAGTGCCTTGAGGAAATAGTACTGACCTGGGTCAAGAAGGTGGCTACTGGAAGACCCTACGTTTGGCAACAAGTCACTACCGCATACCACACAAGCAGGAGAACCCAATCATGGATGACAGACAATTTCTGCGATCACATCACACCTTACATCTGGCCACCTAACTCCCGAGACTTCAACTCTTTTGATTATTAAAAAACTCCTTGTAACACCAAGATTGATACCCAAAACACGAGGAAATATTCTTATTGGAGCTTAAAGGCGAGAATGCCAAGGAGTACGGCATGCCGTTTCCAAAATTCTGAAGGAGCGAATTGAAGTAATACTTAATTTTGGGTCTGATCTGAAGTCAAGGGCTATGGC